ATCATCGGGGGTAACCCGGGTCAGGGCTAACTCGGGTTCGTTTTTCCGGAATCCAAACCCGAGTTACCCCAGACCCGAGCTACACCCCGGTTAATTCGGGCGGGTCCAGCCCTTGGCCTCGATGGAGCGCCGATGCGGGCGCTTCCCTGAGATACTGGCGTCTCGATTTTTGCTCGAGCCGGTCGCTGTCGTCCAGATTCGGATTGGGGGTCCTCACGGGTCGATCCCGCTCGAGGAATGGCGCAGAAAGGCGGGGTTCACAGTCGTGGTTTTCCACGATGTTTTGATTTTTCGAGACGTCGGATCCCAAAGTTCGGGCCCTGGGCAAGAATGGATTTTTCTGGAAGGTCCCTCGGGGGAGAACCCACCGACCTCGACATGATCGCTTTGGTTGGGGTTGTGGTCGATGGGGCCGTCCTGGGACGCACACACCAGCCGCATCCAGCACTGCACAGACGGGAGTCAAGTTACAACAAAACAACCAATATTTCCATCCTGAGTGATACGCGAACGACGACCCCCACAACAGGATCATTAAGTGATACCCGCCTTTCGATGTTGGCAACGTGCGGAAGTGTGCGCCATGGTTAGGGTATCGATCTACCTTCCACTGGCTTGAGCGCTCAGTAGCAACATTGAGAGGCGGATGCAATTCAATGCCTGGGTGTGCTTCCAAGCTGACCCCTCACTGGTCCGCAGGCGTGGGTGGTCCCACTTTATTCCGTTCGGTTCGTTCCCCCGATGAGATGCCTGCCACACGCTGCGCAGCGAGTGCGGTTCCGTAACGCTGATAATGGAGGATGACGATCAATAAATGACCGGGGGTCGTGTTCACGCAGCGGCGCCCAGGATGACGATTAGAAAACATCGGCAGCGGGCTGGAAAACTATTTTTTACAATCGTTCTCGTCCAGTCAGAAAATTGTACAGAAATTGCAGACAACTATTTTTTCAATCGTTCTCTCTCATTTTTTATTAATCGTCATCCCGCATTAGGCGGACGCCACTTAATGCAGCGGGCCCCGCCCGCATTGTTTCAAGGGAGTTTCGGCTTCCGTCCCCGTGCCATTTTTGTCAACGACCGTTTTTTCACTGGGATTTAAGCCTGTTTCAGCGTTCCCACGACTACCAGCATACGCAAGACACCCTCAAGGCTGTGCCCTCGATGTGGTTGTGGTCACGTGTCGTTCCCGACGCCCCAGTTCCTTCACGAAGATCGATCCAGGTCGAAGAATGCTGCAGGTCAGCACGATCGAAAAGGGTACAGAAGAGTGGAGACGAATACCAACATCAGTGCCTGTCCATTTTGAACACTCGTCATTGTCGGTGTCGGCGCGGACGGACAAACAATCGCTTGCCAAACAGCAGCCGCTGCTGTTTGTGGACAAAATGTGCTTTTGGGCATCGTACCCATGCTCTCCGTGCCCATTTCGGGCGTGTAGAAATATGGGGTCTAGGGTTCCAGTCGTGACTTTGCACGATGCCGAATTTGTTTCCCAAGGTCGGGCCGTGAATCGGTCGTCGAGCGAGCGATGATCGAAGCTTGTTGCGAAGGCTTCGATGATCGAAGACTGCCGATGAGCGAGCAAGCGTGCGATGATCGAAGACCGCCGCCGCCCCTGGAACACGACCCCCGCGGTGGAAGAAGCATTCGGGAGGGTCGGGATCAAACGCGCCCAAGAGTGCCCAAGAGGCTACACGAGGCCCCCAAACGGCGCCCAAGAACCCCCGCGAATTTTGGGGGTGACTGGGGACCCTTTGGGAGCCTCCTGGGGCTTCCTGTCGGATTCTCGAAGGCTCCTGGGGGCCGCATGGGGGCCCCCAGAGGGGGGCCTCTGGGGGGCTTTTTTAGGTCCGGGACCCCCCGGGGGGGATGGTATTCTGACCCGAGACACCTCCAAGGAGCCCTCGCCCTGTTCCTTGATCCATGTTTGCGATCGCCTGAGAGTGAAGAACACGAGTCCGCCCCGAGTTTCCGAGACCCCATGCAGGCGACCAAAGACACCCAACTGGCCCAAGATGCTTCGACGACGGACCCAGGATGGCCCCAATAGGGCCGCATGCGGCCTCAAGACAGCCCAAGAGGCCCCGACGCAGCCCACAGAGAGGCCCCAGCCCACAGGGGCCCCGAGCGCGCCCACGGAGGCCTCAGGGCGCTGCCCACGGAGGCCCCCCGGCACAGCCCGCAGAGGCCCCAAGGGCGCCCACATAGGCCCCAGCCCGCAGAGGCCCCAACCCAGACCCCCTCGAGTAATGAAAAAATCACGACGGGAGGTTTTTCTTAATTTTCTGCCTCCGGGGGCCCTCACCGGGCCTCGGGAGCGTCAAAAAACGACTCAGGATGCAAAACCGGTCATGGGGAAAGGGTCGGGACCTCTGGGGGTCGACGTAATGAAAAAAACATTACGTCGGGGGTCTGGGAAGCGCGCCCACCGAGGCCGCAAGCCCTTGCACTCCTGGAGGCCGCCAGTGTCAGGGGTGGGGGGGGCATGGTGGGGGCGGTCCCGGACGATTTTTGCACGGGGGGTGGCTCCTAAGAACTTGTGCCCAGGGGCTCCAGGAGGCTGCCAGTGTCAGGGGTGGTGGGGGCATGGTGGGACGGGTCCCGGACGATTTTTGCACGGGGGGTGGCTCCTAAGAGCTTGTGCCCAGGGGCTCCAGGAGGCTGCCAGTGTCAGGGGTGGTGGGGGCATGGTGGGACGGGTCCCGGACGATTTTTGCACGGGGGGTGGCTCCTAAGAGCTTGTGCCCAGGGGCTCCAGGAGGCTGCCAGTGTCAGGGGTGGTGGGCGCATGGGGGACGGGTCCCGGACGATTTTCGAAGGGTGGTGGCCCCTAAGAACCGGTGCCCACAGGCTCCATGAGGCTGCCAGTATCACGATTTTTGCAGCGTGGGTGGCCCCTAAGAATCTATGCCCAGAGGCTCCATGAGGCTGTCAGTGTCAGGGGTGGTGGGGGCATGGTGGGGGGGGTGTGCCGGACGATTTTTGCAGGGAGGGTAGCCCCCCCCCTGACACTCGCAGCCTCATGGAGCCTTTGGGCACAGGTTCCTAGGGTCACCCACCATGCAAAAATCGTCCGGGACCCGTCCCCACCATGCCCCCACTACCCCTGACGCTGGCAGCCTCATGGAGCCTCTGGGCACAGGTTCTTCGGGGCCGCCCACCCTGCAAACATCGTGACACTGGCGCGCTGCCCACTGAGGCCCCCGACAACGCCTACAGAGGCCCCACGCGCGCACACCGAGGCCCCAGCCCACAGAGTCGTCAGGCGAGCCCACGGAGGCCCCGCGCGCTGCCCACCGAGTCCTCCGACACAGCCCAGAGGCCCCAAGCGCGCCCACAGAGGCCTCACAGAGGCCCCAAGGTCGCCCACAGAGGCCCCGAGCGCGCCCACAGAGGCGACCCGCGCGCTGCCCACTGAGGCCGCCCAACACAGCCCACAGAGGCCCCAAGCGCGCCCACAGAGGCCCCAGCCCGCAGAGGCTCCAAGCGCGCCCACAGAGGCCCCCGCGCGCTGCCCACTGATGCCCCCGACGCAGACCACAGAGGCCCCAAGGGCGCCCACAGAGGCCCCAGCCCGCAGTGGCCCCGAGCGCGCCCACAGAGGCCCCCGCGCGCTGCCCACTGAGGCCCCCGACGCAGACCACAGAGACCCCAAGGGCGCCCACAGAGGCCCCAGCCCGCAGAGGCCCCAAGGGCGCCCACAGAGGCCCCCGCGCGCTGCCCACTGAGGCCCCCGACGCAGACCACAGAGGCCCCAAGGGCGCCCACAGAGGCCCCAGCCCGCAGTGGCCCCGAGCGCGCCCACAGAGGCCCCCGCGCGCTGCCCCCAGGCGGGGAAGGGATCAAAGGGCGTTCCTTCGGGAAGGGGATTCCTTTCGACTTTTCTACGAAGTTGCCGTTTTCGTCCTAGTCTGAGTCCTCGTCGTCGCCGCCGCCGCCTCCGTCGCTGTTGTCGTCGCCCTCGGCGTCGTCATCGTCGTCGTCATCGTCGTCGTCGTCGTCGCCGCCGCCGCCGCCGCCGTCGTCGTCGTCGTCGTCGTCGTCGTCGTCGTCGTCGTCGTCGTCGTCGTCGTCGCAGTCGCCGCCGCCATCGTAGCCGCAGCCGGCGGAGGCTGGCGCTGCGGTCGCTGGGAGCCCCGCCTCGTCGTCGTCGGGGGCGGCAGCGGCTCGATCTGCCGGCGGCCCAGCGGGCGGCGTGCTGCGCGAGGCGCCAGCGGAGGCGGCGGCGGCAGGCCGGCCGCCCGCGGCGGCGGCGAGCTCCAGCAGCAGAGGAGGGC